TGGCATATGAAACAGTTTGTACTAGGCTCAGACTTAGTTTAATATTCCTGTAGAAAAATTTTTTGATAAGTTGGCAAAGATGAACATGTTAGCTCTTTTTTTTTTAAGATTTTATTCATTTATTTGAAAGAGAGAGACACAGTGAGAGAGGGAACACAAGCAGGGGGAGTGGGAGGGAAGAGTAGGCTTCCTGAGAGCCCGATGCGGGGCTCAATCCCAGGACCCTGGGACCATGACCGGAGCCGAGGGCAGATGCCCAAAGACTGAGCCACCCAGGTGCCCCTGGCTCTTGTTTTTAAAAATGTTCAAGATTTCAGCCTCTTGACCCCATCAAAAAGTCTTATGGGCTCAAGTTTGAACATACGTTGTATTGCCTGTCAGCAACAATGAAGCAAACAGGTGCATTATATTACCAATTGCATTTAAGGGAAAACCAAATAAAGCATTTAAATGATCTATTAACAGTAATATTTGTACTATCTCTACAATTCCAACAACTCAGCATTTTAAAGTTCTTCCCAAACTACATGTTTTACTGAGCTAATGTTCCATTTGTACTTTACATAATTTGCAATAAACAAAAGAATAACTGAATGCTTATTATCTGTTCAGGAGTAAAGCCATTAAAACCAGAAACCAGTCAGTAGGATTGCTTAGTATTCTGAACCATTGTGGGAAAAAGTAACACAAATGACTTATTAGCTATATCTTTTCTTATAAAAACAGGTTTTAGTGTTTGGGCCCAAAAGGTAAATAACCAAAATACTTTTTTAATTAAAAGCATTTTTTCAGGGTTACTTTAAAATTTTATGTTTTAAATGAGTAAGATTTAGCCATTTTGATTTTTACTTACAAAACCAAAAAAGCTATTTTTCATAGTTCTTTTTTAAACACCAGAGATCATTTGTTCTATTTTTAATAAATTGCAGGAAGGCAATTTTCTTCTCTGTTATGCAAAAATTTTTGAAGTTATATTTCTGCTGTCCTCTATACTGCTATGGAGTTTTACATCCAAGACTTTTTTTTTTTGCATTTATGCTGTTTCTTTAGTCATGGCCGTGCAAGACCAAATCCAATAATTGATAAATCTGAGAAAAAAATAAGTTAAATTCTAAAAATAAACACTGATTTATACGTAAAGTGTGTATTCCAAGATTGACTACATTTTTTCTTGGCTAACTTTCTCTACAATAACCCATCTAGTGGTTCTCACATTCTACCGGCTGTCTAAAGAATCTAGACCTAGAAATTGCCACTTGTGAAATACCTGACCCCTCAGGCAAGGACTTTTCACTGCAAAGCCCATCTCTCATGACAGCCATATAAGTTTTTGGTTTTGTTTTTATCTTTTCTTGTTTTATTGACAAGTAATTCACATACATCTCTGTATAAGTTTAAGATGGTTTGATTTACATATATTATGAAATGATTACCACAACAGGTTTAGTTAACATCCATCGCCTCAGACAGATACAATTAAAAAATGTTCTCCTTGTGATGAGAACTCTTAGGATCTACTCTCTGGAATTTAAGTTTTAATCTGATTAACAGATTATTTTTGAGTTGCCGGTGCTAAAAAAAAAAAAAGATGAAAAAAGATGTGCTTTTATTTTAAAATTGCAAGTCACTTAAAAATACTGTTTTGATTATTTTAACTTTTTAAATAAACCTTTTTATTTTAGGACAGTTTTAGGTTTATGGAATTGTTGACAAGTAGTGCAGAGAGTTCCTATAGACCTTTTAATTGTCATTAACATATTATATTAGTATATTTGTCCCAATTAATAAACCAATATTGATACATTATTAGTAACTAAATCCGTATTTTATTCAAGTTTCCTCAGGTTTTTTTCTAATGTCCTTTTTCTATCTCAAGACCCCATCCAAGTCATCATATTATATTTTGTAGTTATATCTTTAGGTTTTTCTTCGTTGTGACAATTTCTCAGACTTCCATTGTGTTTGATAATGGTAAGAGTTTTGAAGAGTATTGGGCATATATTTTGTTGATTGTTCCTCAGGTGCGATTTGTGTGATATTTTTCCTGTGGTTTAGACTGGGATGATGTATTTTTGAGGAGGAAAACCATAGAGGTCAGATTCCATTTTCATCATATCCTACCAAGGGCACATAGAACCAACATGAATCATTGCTATTGATGTTGACCTTAATCCCTTGGCTTTTGGTGGTATTTGTCAGGTTTCTGCATGGGAAAGTTACTCTTTTTGTCCTCCCTTTCCATATTGCATTCTGGTAGAAAGTCACTATACACAGTGTGCATTTAAGGAATGGGAAATTATTCTCCACCTGCTTATGAGCAGAGTATCTATATAAATTATTTGAAATCCTTTTGCATGGCATATTTATCTGTTCTTACCTATTAATTTATTTAGTCAGTCATTTATTTTTTATCAGAATGGACTCACAGATATTTATTTTTTATTGCATAGTAACCCAGTGCTACCTTATTTATTTTGTTGTATAAATTGTGCTAGCTTCGGCCATTGATAGATTTTCAGTTGGTTCCTTTAACCCTTTGATATATCCCTCATTATGTGTGTGTGTGTGTGTGTGTGTGTGTGAGAGAGAGAGAGAGAGAGAGTTTGTGTGTATGAGTGTGTGTGTGTGTGTGTGTGCATGCATATGTAAACACTTGCTTTCTGGCATTACAAGATGTTTCAGGCTTATCTTGTATCTTTCCTGCCTCAGTCCTAGAATCAGTCATTTCTTCAAGAGTTCTGATTCTTTCATTGGAGAATGGTATTAGGAATCAAGATCTGGGTGATAGTTGTGTTCATTGCTATTGCTATTGGGATGTCATTGCTTCTAAGCCCTCTCAGCTGCCAGAGCAGAGAGATATATGTGTATATAGTAATCCATGTATATACAAATATCCATAAATACTTCTTTATGTAGCCTTCTGTATATATAGTAAGCTAAACATGAGTTCATACTGATGGCTCCAATTCTAGTACATTATACGTGAATCAGTCTAGCTGTGCTTTCTATTAACTCCCACTTCAACAGTGAAATATTTGGCTCCTGGCATCTGTCATCCATTTACTTCATTGTTCAATTCCAGAATATATGTACAGTAGTTTCAGAATTATTAACATGTATGTACATAGGGAGCAACTTTATCAATTAGTACACAGTATTTGTGCACAGTTCCTTTTGGTTTTGGTTTTACAGACTCCACTCATTTTCAAAGTGACTTAGGTTAGAATCTTATTCCCCCACTGTCTTCAGTTACATTTCATACATTTGTAATGTATCTAGATCCTTTTTTAGTATTTTGCCTTCCATCTTGGGATTCCCCCAATCTTCTAATCGATTTTTTTCATTTGCATACACTGTTTTACCCTGTTGTGTGAAGTTCTATAGGTTTTGACAAATGCTAGTGTTTTGTATTTACCATTATAATACAAAATTGTTTCACTTCCCTAAAATATCCCCTCTGATTCACCTATTCAACCCCCTATTCCCCTCCCAAACTCCTGAAAAGTTGTAACTTTTTGAAACTCTAGATTGGGACTAAACATCTCCAGTGGTAACTGTCACAATCAAGAGGTCGCAAATAGGATGTTTCTCTCATACAGGAATCATTTTAAGCAAAGTGGACATTTAATACTTGGTGATATCATCTTTCTTAGAAATCAGGAGTTGTGGGTCCTTATTTTTATCTTGTCAGCATTTGTCTGAACAAAATACCTCAGGTTGGAGAAAAAGATTATTGAAAGAGGGGGAAGATGATGGATGAATTTGAAAAGTCAAGAGTAAATTGACAGGTCATAGTGATTTTGTTTGAAAATTTTGAAATATATTTGAAAAGATTTTCTTACATCATGGCTCAGTAAATTTGAAATTTAGAGGTGACAAAAGTTATCCACACCCTTAGGGACTTTCCACATTATTTTTGAAGCAGGAGAATACGAAAGGGCAATTACTATGCAGTAATTATTATGTTGGCACAATAGGCACATAAAGGAATAGAGGAGTAGTTCTATCTTCCCTGATAAAGGCTTTCAGTGGAGATGACATCTAAGCCTTGGGAGAAATGTTAATGTTTGAGACAGATAAATAAATGAAGGCAGGAAGTATAATATGTGAAAACATCTTGGCATATCAGACAGAATAACCAACTTGAGGAGGTACCAGTTAACTGTAGCTAGAGTGGAAGTGTTAGTTGAGGTGGGATGGAGATATAAGTGGTGGTATATTGGGGTAGACAAGTACAGATCATGAGGGGCCTTGAGTTTAGATTTTAGCCTGAGAATTATGAAGCCACTGAAAGATTACGAAAAGGTAATGAGTACATTATATGGCATCTTCAAAAGCCCACTCTGTCAGGAAACTGGTGGGGAGAATTAGGAAGGAACTTGACCCTAGAAAACATCATAGATGGCTATTACTGCAGTCAGGGTGGGAGATGATGAGGGTCTGCTTTAGGGCAATGACAGAAAGCATAGAGCAAGAAGGAAGTATGAGAAATATCTTAACAAAAATAAGGAAGTGAGAAGAGGAAGAAGTCAGTGAAGTAATACTGAAAGGTAAAGTTGGGAATGTTCTCTAAATCCTACTAATCTTTATTCTCATTAAAAGGAGTTTGAAACTTTGATGGCAAACAGGCACATTTTGTGCAATTTTATATTGAATATTTCATTGTTATATTTCTAAGCATGCTTGCCAAGATTTCCATAAAAATATTAATTCAGGAAGGAACAGAGTCTAGATATTTCCTCTTATTAAAACATTAAATCTTATTAAAAAGGGAATATAAAAAATGAGTTCAGAGTTTATGGCATGACTTTGACTTGACAATGAATTTAAACTTAGAACTCTTCTCTTTTATGAGGAAATTCTTCTTCTTCTTCTTCTTCTTCTCTTTCTTCTTCTTCTTCTTCTTTGACATATAATTCGTAGAGACGAAGTGTTCACCCATGTTGGTATTCATGATATCAATCTAGAGTTTAATCCAGAATGAACTTTTTCTTTGGCAGGATGAATCTTTAAAGCAATTGCAAGTAGTTCATCAGCCATGGATCTTGCCAAGTGACACAGAAAGTGAAGGAGTAGAAGCAGAACAAGATAAACGTGAGTAGACATTGCTATTTACTGATAAATTGCTTTTAGCCAAAGGAAATCTGCAACGAAGGTATTTCCCTTTCATAACATTAAATGCCTGCAAAAAATTCAGGCTTGTTTAGGGAGACTGTGTAAAGATACACTCTACTTCAGGTTAAATCTTGATTCAGTGATGTTTTTTCATTGTGGTGCAGAGGCTGCAAACTGACTTTGCAAAGAAGGGTAGATAACACCTCAAACAAAGGAATTATTTTTCCTAAAGACCAGCACAGAATGTCCATTTGGAATGTGAATCTTCTATAAATATTGTGGAATTAGATCAGTGATAATTTGTGATTATTAAAAAATTTTTAAGTATGTGAGAATCATCTCATAATTTATTATATGTGAGATTATCATTATTGGTTAAATGAATAAGTGCATGTATATAGAAACTCTTGTAAGCTCCCAAAACAAATTAATATTATAGTATTTAAGACAAATAGAGTATATAGCTCTTGATTTAAATCTCTATATTATAATCATAACAAAGGATGGATTACTCTACTTTAGCATGGCACCGTATGCATGCTTTCCAGGGGTTTACTGACATTGTCAGATATATGGGCTCAGCAATCGATGACAGGTTAGAGTCTGGACTATTTAGAAATAACATCATTAAAAAAAATAACATCAAAATTTACTTTTTTAAGTCAATGGTAGCCTGCAGAGAGAAATAAAAATTGTAAATGGTAATGTAGCTCTCACAATAATTGGTGTGAAGTGATTAATTAAAAATTCCCCTAAGCCATGGCTACCAGAAATGCCTACTATGTTACACAGCCAACATTATGATTCCTTACCCAGGGGGATCAAAGAAATTACTCTTCTGGGTTAAAAAGGCATTTAAAAATATTCTTATCCCATTTCCATAACTGTAGGCTTATGTAGTCAGAGGGAGCATAGCCAGGAGAGGGACGTAAGGCAGAGTGCTCAGGCAACAGGATGCAGAGAGCTGAAGTGTCACGTGGCTGGCACGTTCAGAAACAGAATAACATGGTGATATTTTACAGATTGTCTGGAGGGAAACATCACCTTCTTCAGACAACATCTGATAAAGACTCAGAAAGTGGGCTGTACTTTAAGCAAGTACAAAAATAAAGGGAATATTTTGAAGATCTTCAATGTAAGGGATCCTGAGTAAAATGGTCTAAGAAAAGAGCAGCATGGTATAGAAAGAAGAGAATCCCCCAAGTAAGAAAGAATTAATAGTGGCCCCAAACTTCTATGAAAACAAATGCAAACACACTTATACTCCATCCCTACTCTCCACACATTTTAATATACATAAACACTCATTCTACACTTTGGATTTAATCATTTTCACCAAATTCTTTGAGGCCTTCATAAATCTTGTGTTTAAAAAAAAAAAAACTCTTCCAGGTAATGTGTATGTGTATTGTATAAATACAATATATATAATTTTGCTCTATCAGAATCAACACATAGGTGCCCAGAGTGAGTAAGTCCAGGTAAACAACATCCTTATAGGATGCACAGTGTGTTAATTCTATGTGTTATTACTTATAATGAACTAAAACTTAAAAGCAAAAACATTATCAATCAAATAGTGTATTTAATCCTTGTGCAAATTTAGCCTTATTTTTCCCCTTAAATCCAATGCCTCCAATCAGTATGAAGTCTAAAAAATAGCTTAATAATGCAAAGGAGATATATAAGAATCCCCAAAACTTTCTTTAACCCTTGTCACCTAATCATATTACCTTTCTGCATACACTTTCACAAGATTTTGATAAGTTGCAATAATTTCCTCTTCCACTAGGATGCAAAGTTTTTGAGAGAAGGAATCTATTTATATATTGACATACACAATAAGACCTCAATAAATATCAGAATAATGAATGAATGAATGAATGAATATATTTCTTTGATTCTTTCTAAATCATTTATCAAGACAGTTGGAAATTTAAACAAATAAAATAAATAATAATTGTGACTAATTGTCATAAAAATTATTTATAGTTTTTAAAATTTTAATAATGGATTTATAGTTTAGCCATGGCTTCTGCCATATGGTCTATCAATCACTCTAAAAAAGGCCATTCTTGAACTCTCCTAACCATAGACCTAGAACCAAAAATATTTTATTGCAGCAATGTTGTACTTGGAAGTGACCCTTGACAATGGTAAATTGTTTGAAATAAAATCAGCGTTTAAAAATAATTAGGTAGTAACAAGAGCCATCTGGAAATGGAATGCTAGCTAATGTTGCAGCCAAGTTCATAGTACAGAGATGCAAATACTTTTCAAGAACGGCATCCGACATTCCGGTGCTGGGAGAAGTGTAAGATGGAGCTACTGTGGCATCAGCATCTCCACTGATATTGTGCTCAGTGCATGTGGTGTGTGGAACAGCCGGCAAGATATGTAGAGATCATCTACCTCTTGATTTTCTCAGTGAAAGAGAATTAATGACATAAATACACGTGAACCCAACATCTGATTTAGAGTCTAGAGCTCATATATTAGAAATTTATGAGTGAGGAAAAGGACAAGATTCATCATTCCAACAGTAACACCTGTGTCTTGAGTCAGCTTTCTATAAATTATCCCTAGGTAATTTTGTAGAATGTTCTCATTTCTCCTGAGACAAAATTATCATGGCAGAAAGTTTCCAAATAATGAGAGGATCTTTGTAGTAGTGCATATTTCTTATTGCATCATGTTAAAATAAGACAGCTCAAAGAAGTTTTTTAAAAGACACTTTTTAGGAAAAGATGTTTTGAATCATCAAATGGGAACTTTTAAAAACTTTTGTTCTAAATAAGACAAGCAGAACCCTTAATTCAATAGATTTTTTTTCTTTATTCTGCTTTTGTTTAAAAGTATAAATCACAATTTTAAAAAACTCATGTTAGGAGTGTGTTTGTTTTTAATCTCTCAGATTATAGTGTGAAGTCACTAAATAACACATATCACAGACCTTTGAATCTACTGGGATACTGTTTGATGCTCATATTCTTGGGCTTCATTCAGACCTATTGTTTCAGAATCTCTGCATGGGACTCTGAATTCTGCACTTTTGATAAACCCCTCAGGTGAACCTTGATTATTCTAAAGCTTGAGAACTACTGGAATGAAAAGTCCAATGAATCAGAGGATTGTGTTTTCAGAATTGTCTCCATAGTGTTCAATTTGGGGCATTTCTCTAGGCTGCTTTTCCTATCTGTAAGTTAAGTTTGGATGTAAAATATGAGAATGGAGAAAGAAGGCTGAAATTTGAAGGAATAAATGTGGGATGAAATTGAGGTACAGGCTCTCCAATCAGTAGGTTCAACATATACATGGACACAAATAGCTATCATCAAACCAGCCAGCACCCTCTAATTATACTGTAGAGTTTTAAAACTTGAAAAACCAAGCTAAAACAACAACAACAAAAGAAAAATGTAAAGAAAAATATGACAAATTGCAGATGCAAAGTGTGATGACATAAATAAGTCCAAATACTTCATTAATCCCAAAGAGCTAGTGTATGGAGTCAAAAATAAGGCAAAGTGCTACCTAATTGTCACTGAATTCCTGGGATTTGAGTGAAGATCAAATAGAATGATAGGTGTGAGTGAATATATTTTGTTAATTGTTGTATGAGTATAATTTATTATTAATATAACAAAATTATATTCATGAGCTTTGAGAGTTTTAAGTGATCAAAGTCAAAGTTATTTTCAGTCTATTGTTTTTTCTTGTTGTTATTGCCCTCACTACTTTTTGTTTACTGACTTTCCTGAACTAATTTTTAAAGTCTATATTATTTTTTGTATACCTACTGAAGTCTCTGCTCAGTAGCTTCGTAGTCAGCTAATGCCTGGACAAAGTATTGAGGCATGCCATGGACACTCCAGAACTTTACAGCTTTGCTTACACAGAGCTTCTAGGTCAACAAGAGGTGAGAGATAGAGCCTTACTAGGTTTTTCCTGGGCAGATGCATAGTACCACACATATGGGTGGACTTCTAGATCCTCAGGAATATGTCAGATCTTTTGAAAGCTTCTTAAGGACATCTCACCCATGAGGTTTTCTTTTTCTTTTCTTTTCTTTCTTTCTTTCTTTCTTTCTTTCTTTCTTTCTTTCTTTCTTTCTTTCTTTCTTTTTTGGGGGGGTAAACCCCTTGTTTGCCTCAATTGGTATCACTGCCTCAGGCACCTGCTAGTAAAACTGTTGCCTCTAACTGTTTTTGACAAATGTCATAGGGATTGAGTTTTTCACTGAGTGAGCTTTAATCCAGAACTAAAGAAAAAACATTCAAGTGAGGATTTTGCAGGCAGCTTCTATATAGGTCAAATAGTGACAATTCTCTAGATATGGGACATCTGGGGAAACTCCAAACCCAATTCTGTCCCCTCTTATGGATCAAAGGCTGCTTTTTTTCATAGCTACCATCATTGTGAGGCTGCTGGTTTTCAAGGCTACTGCAGAGTTAGAGAGAAGGTTATTGATACTGGGTAAATGAAAATCCCACACAGCTCACTGTTCTCATTGAGATTCAGCTGCTTTTCTTTAATAAATGTTCTATGGATTATTGCAAGCCTTTGGTTAATTTCTAGAGTTGTGAAAAATTGATTTTGGTGATTTTTTGCTAATATTCTCACTGCTTTTTAGAGGAGCAGATTTTTGGAGATTCCTATACCCACATTCCAGAAATGCTTCTCCTCTCCTATTTTTCCTGATTTCATCAGCCTTAGTTTTCTCTTTGTTTGAATGGGAGTGGGATATCTTCATAATGGGCTGTAGAATCAGATAATATCTGTTTCTTTAAGTCCTCATTTCATGAGAAGCTATTAAAAACAATTTTGTAGTAAGATAAGTTTTGGGACTTTATATATATCATTATAGTTGAGAAACTCTCAGTTGTAAGATATACCAATGACATAACAACTTTTCAAGAGGAGCAAAAACAATTCTACACTTTTAAATGAACAGATCAAGGGTAATCAGCATCTTGGCT